CCACTTTACATTCCCAATTGAAAAAGAAAAAGGGAAACAACAGCTGAGATTAAAAAAGAAGCTGGATGAGAAAAAACTGGAAGGGAATTCAATTATATAATAATAGTAGAGATTTAAATTCTACATAAGCAGCTATATAGAGAAGTACAGAAGGTGGAAAAAAACTAATTAGTATTTTAGCATATACATATAAGATGATCTCCTAACACAGAAGGAAAAGGACCAAGATGAAAACAAAGCGTATTGGTTGACTAGAGGACAAAGATCACAAATCCAACCTACAAATAATTGGTGTTTCTGAACTGAAATCATAAGCAAACAACCATTGAAAAATTATTCCTGCGCTCTGAGCTGGACTAAAAAAAAAAAAAAAAAAGATCAAACATATTTACTTTCATAAATTGAGATGATTCAGTGTGTTTTTGAGAAAACTTTTGGGTAAAAAAAAAAAATCTATCCCTAGAGGTAGCCTAGTGGAATATCTTAATTTAAAAAAATAAATAAATAAAGATGCAGGCAGAATAAAGAGTTTACCTACACAGAAATAAAAATTAGGGTAGCCTCAGCAATCACCTCCACAGCAAGGAACACCAGAAGTCAATAGAGCAATGTCTAAACATCTGAGAATTTCTGACTTAGAAGTTTGCATCTTAGCACCTATAACAGAGTCAGGCACACTGTAAACGAAAGTCGCAATGAATAAAAGGAAATTAAAATTTTAAATGAATTTATTTTACATGTCTCTACCTATGGTACCTTTCTTCAGCTTTCAAGCTTATTCACCAATTGGTCTTTTCCCATTCAAACAACAGATTTACATGACATCTAAGTTTTCTGATATCAGTGTCATTATTTTTATAAGAAGATTATATTTCTATATAAAATAAGACTTTTCTGCAAGCATATAAGAGAAATTGATCCACCACTGGTGATGATTTGAGCTCTTGTTGTTTTGGAATACTGGAACTTATAAAACTAACTCTAGTCTGCATGTATGCTAATTAGGCCAGAACCAGGAACTAATGACATAAGAGTTTGGCCAAAGTTATTCCACAAATAAGAAGATAGAGAAAAAATCAGCACTCTGTCAGAAGTTACAGACTCTGCTACTCTGAAAATAGATGATAGAGCCATGTATTTTTAAAATATGCTAGCAAGTGCCATTAAAAAAATAATTAGTGGGGCATCTGTGTGGCTCAATTGGTTGAGCATCTGACTCTTGATTTCTTTCAGGTCACGTCATGATCCCAGGGTCATGGGACGGAGCCCTTTGTGGATCTCCACACTGAGCTTGGAGCCTGCTTGGGATTCTCTCTTAAAAAAATAGTGTTTGACATTTTTTAATGAAAGAGACATTCCCTTTTTCTTCTTACAGTCTTCATTAAAAGCTAGCTAGGAGTGCTTGTGTGGCTCAGTCGGTTAAGTGCCCAACTATTGATTTCAGCTCAGATCATGATCTCACAGTTGGTGAGATTAAGACACACATGGGCTCCAAGACACTGTGGAGCCTGCTCTGGATTCTCTCTCTCTACCTCTCTCTGTCTGCCCTTCCCTGCTCACACATGTTCACTTGTGCTCTCTCTTTCTCACAAAATGAATATTTAAAAAAAACAGAAACAAACTAGAAGGGTGCCTATGTGGCTCAGTTGGGTTAGTGTCTATCAATTTTGGCTCTGGTCATGATCTCACATACGGGTTCGTGAGTTTGAGCTCCGTGTCAGGCTCTGTGCTAACACTGGAGAGCCTGCTGAGATTCCCTCTTACTCCCTCTGTGTTTGCCTCTCCCCACTTGCATGGGCTCTCTCTCTCATAAAATAAATAAACTTTAAAAAAAATTAATGTGCCTTCTTACTTCCACAAGCTTTCATTCATTCACCTGGCACCTACAATATCCTAGCACTTCGCTGTGTGTGTGTCCTCACAGGAAGGACTATCAAATGTTTCCTGGGAAAATCAAAGGCCCTAAAAGAGGGAGTCTGGAAGACTTGAATTCAGTTCTTGAAGAACTGAATTTGGTATGTGAATGAGGGCTTACCAAGTAGAGACAAAGACATGTCATACAAAAGAAAATGGAGGAGCTACTCAACAAAGGGCCTGAAAAGTTTGCTAACTTTTAAAAATAAAGTGGTAATACACAGGCATAGGCTGGGTAAACTATAGGCAGATATGGTCCAATGGTTCCCAACATTGGGAGGGACCATTCTCAAAGAGGTTGTTTGGAAATGAGTGAGAACACAGTGAGTTATCACAAAATAGTGAGTTTGTAGTTTGCTATTGCAAGTTAGTGCTCAGGGAACAGATACAATGAGCATCTACAAGGTATGAAACAGCTCCATGAACATGCCAGTTGAGCCCCCGTTAAGAAACACTAGAAGGAGGTTAAAACTTAACAAAGTCTTGGGGTGCCTGGGTGGCTCAGTCAGTTAAATGTCAAACTAGCTCAAGTCATGATCTTATGGTTGGTAAGTTTGAGCCCTGTATTGGGCTCTTCACTGACAGTGCAGAGCCTGTTTGGGATTCTCTCTCTATCCCCTACTTAGAATTCTCTCTTTCTCTCTCTCCTTTTCCCTCTCTCTCTCCCCCTCCCCTACCTCTCAAAATAAATAAACTTGAAAAAAAAAATTAACCAAGTCTAAAAAACTTAACCGTAGTGTTTCTTAGCATATCTTTGAAATCTGAGATCACAACCTACATTTCTCTCAATATTTACTTCCAAGAAAGCTGTGTTTTTCTTGAGAAGTAGTATGCTTCTTTCTTTCCTTTGAGCACTATGAAGCTGAGAACTTAGTCTATAGGGAGATCAGGGAGTTGAGGCAGGGGGGCAGGAGCGGGAAGAAAAGCAGTTTACACGTAACTCCCAAATCCTATGAAGAAATTCCATTTAAAACAATGGGCAATAAGAAACCCTTATTGGTTCTTGAGCTGGCACAGAGAGGATTTTAAATGTTTCTCTGAAGGCTACTACATGACAGTGATATGAGATAACCCCAAACTCAAAGATAAACTTTTACCAGTAAGTATCTTCCTGGGTTCTGTAAGCCTATGAGATGAGCACTTCAAGGACGGAGATACCAAGCGCTTTAGAGGTGCCTCTCGTTTTGCAGTTTTCAGCAACCTCTCCTTATTCTGGATGCTTTTAGGTAGGATTTATTCTCCATTCCTCTGCTTTCCAATCTTTTTATACCCAGTCTGCTTGGCCCCTGAAGACACTCGTTTTTAACACATAATCACTAAATAATCTCTATGGCACTTTGCTGTTGTTATGGTTCCTGTGTTTATGATTCAAACACTGCCTCTAGGGCCCCAAACATCTCTAGTCTTCAAAGGTGTTAATAATCAAATCAAACCCAGACTTGAACAATCTACTTATATAAATTTTACCTGACACATTTTTCCTTAAAGTATTGCTTATCCTTTTCAGCAATGTATAAGCATTAGGAACTGCTATCAGTTTAGAATTTGTCATAAAACCTTAAGCCCATCATGTAGCAGTGTCTCATTTAATCCTAAATAAAGAGGGAAAGGAACTGGCAAAGGGAGAAGGATGTAAAGATAAATTATTTTGTAACAGTCTACCTATACTAAATGAATCCAGTGTAGAACCAGAAACTGTTTCCACTAACTTCTTCAATTAAAATATCAATAACAATATTAAATCCTTGTAATTGCAATCCCTTAATTTGCATCTCTCAATATTCAACATTTCTTTTTAGATCAAATGTTCATTTTGTACGTTTCATTTTGTCCATATTCGACTCTTCAGAAGCAAGAAGTAAGGATTCTACTTGGGGTCCAATAATGCTGTTGAGAGCCTATGTTTTTCAATTCTTAAAGTATAAACTTAAGCTTTTATCACTAAAGAGTGAGGCCACTGTTGAGGCACCTGTGTGGCTCAGTTGTTTAAACCTCTGACTTTGGCTCACTCATGATCTCAAAGTTCACCAGCTAGGGCCCCACCACAGGCTCGGTGCTAACTGTTCAATCTGGAGCCCGCTTCAGATTCTCTGTTTCTCTCTCTCAAAAATAAATAAAAACATTTAAAAAATAAAATTAAAAATTGAAACAGTGAGGCCACTGTTAAATTGTAACTTTTTAAAGTTATAAACATCATTCACACAAAGTGAGCCTGTGACAAAGATTTATTGAACTCCTGATGGAGCAACTAGAATGGGAAAAATTATAAAAATCTTGGAAACAGGGCAATAAAATCACAACCTTCAGGAGTATTTTTCTTCTACCAGTCAGAAATAATTTGGATCTCCATTAGACCAAAAATAAAAAATAAAAAGTGACTGCTGAGCCTGGGCCCTAATCAGTATTATGTCAAGCAAAAGTAGAGTCTCCCAGATAATTAATTCATCCTCAGGTGGGCTTTTCAGACAAGGTTTCATTCTGAGCCATCCTTTTGCTTCTCCTAGATGTTTATAATTTTTGCCATCTTAAACGAATATATCTGTAAATCAGCTAACTACCCCCACCTGCTCATGATTTGATACTATGAGTACATAATTTGGGAAAAGAAAAGTTGTTAGCTACAAACATTAACTTATTCTCCTGATCCTTAATGAATCTGAAAGCCCTTCAAGTTTAGCGGGACTTGGCCATTGGAATCACCGGTAACTTAATACCCTTTGTTTCAAGGTTACAGGGACAAAGACTTGCTATCCCTGCGCAGGCTTCAACACATGATAGGAACTAGCCACGTCGTGAGTGAGGGCTTCGTAGTGGCCCAAAAGAGCCGGTGACACTGGGTGCGCGCCCTCCTTCCCACTGCGACTCCCCACACCCCCCACACCCCCCAACCGGCAGCTCGTCCCACGACCGCTGGGACCAGGCCTGCATTCCACTAGCCAGCGCTCCGCTCCCCAGTCTTTTGTTCAGAGCTGCGCTGTTTGCCGCCCACCCGCACCCGCCCTTCCCCCTCATTCCGGAGTGAAGTGAGGACTCTACGGTCAGCAGAGCTGGGAAGAGGCTGCGGGAAAGGCTGTGGGAATACTCACCCAGCTCCGCTCGGCCCCTGACCCCGCCGCCCAGCCCAGCGCGGGCGGGGCGACAGGGTTGGGGGAGGGGAGCCGGGGTGAGGTGCCCATCGCTCTGCCAGCTGCCGCCCAGTCGGCGGCCTCAGCGGAAAGTAAGGGGTTCCCGGGGGCCACGGAGACTGTAGCAGACGAGCGAACCCACGCGCACAGAGGCCTCCGGAAAGAAAAGCCCAACCCTTCCTCGGCCACCGCCACCGCCACGGCGGCGACCGAGTCAGAGCATGCGCACCAGCACCTCCGGCGCACCGTGGGGCCAAGCTCGCGCGAGTGCCTGACGTCTAGGGCCGCGCGCGCAGGGCCCGAGCCGGGGGCGTGACCTTCCTGCTGCCCGAGACCGCGGGAGCCGAGGCCCCGCCCCTCATCTCACCGGTCGGGGAAACCGAAGGGCTGCTTGGCGCTCCGCGTCCTCAAAGGCGGCCCGTTGGGAAGCCCAAACCAGGGAGATGAGTGCCAACGGTTTAAATGGTCGTTGGTTTCACCCTTTCTTCCAATAATCAAATAACTGCAAAATAAAAGGGTAACGAATGGAGAAAGTGTCGAGCAAGAACCTTCAGGAGATTGGGGAACCAAACCGGCTAACATCCTAGCATACACATACTGTAAAACTACTGTAAGCACCACAATTAAGCACAGGCACTACTACCTCCTTTAAAACGGAAGACCAAAGTAGAAGTTAGCAATTCGAGAATTGACAATAGCACCATCTGTGACACATATCTCAGGGAAAAAAAAAAAATCTAGCAGCAGAATCAAATTGGGGGGGGGGGCGCGGTGGGATAAAGAAAAGACCACAGAAAGATGTAGGAGTAACAGGGGTGATCGAACTGAAATACTGAAAATGCAACAGTAGACATCTGAGGGAAAACTAGCATCTGCTCCTTTTAACACAACAGAATTGAATTTGTGTGAAAAGAAAAGAGTAAATACAGGCAAAAAAGTGAAAGGAAAACCTGCCTTCAAACGTACAGGGGATGGTTATGATCTTATACCACAGTTATGTAAGATATCACCATTGGAGAAAGCTAGGTCATGAGTACTTGAGATTCTGTACTTTTTTTTGCAGTTTCTTGTTAGTCTATAATCATTTCAAAATAAAAAAAATTCTTAAAAAGGGGCAGAACACCCATCAATGGCGATCAGGAAAAGGGGTTGACTAAAAAGGAGCTTGAGGAAATTTGGGGGGGGGGTAATAGAACTGTTCTATACCTTAATTGCGTTAGTGATTACACCGGTTGTTTTGTCTACCAAAACTCATAAAATGGACAGATTTTACTGTATGTAAAGTAAAACTCAATTTTAAAAAAGATACTACTAAAAATAAAGATACTACTCGTAATGAATTTCCTAACATATTTGAGCAACCGTGGATATAAATGAACTAGATAGCTGCAAATTAAAAGTATTCACTGGCTTCCCTCCCCTACTCACACCCCCACCCCCAACCCTGTACAGGGCAGTGAGTTCTGAGTGACAACTTTAGTGGATGAATGTCCCCTTCAACTTTAAGCAGTTATTTGAAAAACATATAACTTTCACATACAAAAGTAAGAATGCATTGCTTGGCACTGTATTCAATAATCTAGAAACATTTTCATGCATCAACAATATCATGTTAATTTTTTTTGCATTTGAGATTTTTTAAACTACTTTTTTAACGTTTATTTATTTATTTTGAGAGAGTATGTGCACGCAAAAGCAGGGGAAAGCAGAGGGGGGAGGAGGAGGAGGAGGAGCCTTTAATCAGGCTCCAAGCTCAGATCAGAGCCCCACTCAAAGGTAGATCCTCTCCCTGCCCATGAGATCACAACCTGAGCTGAAATCACAAGATAGGCACTTGACCAACTGAGCCACCCAGGCACCCCTGGTTTTGAGATGTTTTTAAGTTTCACAATTCATCTGCCAAAAACAAAAACAAAGAAAGCAAAATAAATCAGCTAACTTTCATGTACTTCCTTTCATCAGATCATTCTTGACAAGGAATAGTACAGGCCTGTTTATGTGTTTACCCTGCAGCACTACAGAGTGCTTTAGGGTGGAGTTTGTCATTGGACAGCCAGCCTCTAGCAGAGTTTCTCACTAGTAGTAAGTATTTGCTGAATAAAACAATGAATCACAAAAAGAAGGAAAATAAAATTCATTGAGAACCCTTCATAAGCCAGAAACTTTACAGGTAGTTCACTTTATAACTACATGAAGATACCTATTTTATAGACATGGAAAGTGAAACTAAGTATCAAATCCCTTTTATCCCTTATTTCATTGGATTTCTCTGTTTCATTTGAACATGTTGATGACATCTAGAAAGTCTTGCTTCCCTTAGCTTCCATAAAACTACAGTCCCCTGATTCTCCTTCTGGCTCCCTTAATCATTCCTTTACTTACCTTCACAGGCTTCTGTTTGTTCACTACATTATAAATACCCATGTTTCCCACAGGGCCTCATGAAGTTAAGCCTTCTGGCTTTTTATTTGTTTTGTTTTACTGAGACACTGTAAAGTAAAAAAAATAAAATATAATAAAAACATTTTTTAATTCCAAAATAAGTTTATCCCAACTATTATATTTAGTATTTTCCTTTAACCAATGAACAATGTAATTTTTATTACCAAAAATTACAATGCAGTATAATTTTGTCTTTCACCTTACAGGAATTATAATGTTAATTCACAGTATCCTTTAGGCAGTATGGCCCAAGAATGAGACACAAGTCTAAAATTACATGGTAAATGTCTTATTTTCTCAATCTTTTCAGTTCATATCACTTGTACATAGTCTTTCTATTCATATCCCATAGGACACACCAAGATACAAGGAAGGTAGAAAATATAGTCTCTAGCTAGGTAGCCAAGGGCTCAGTCAACCCTTGAGAGAATGGGATTGTTTTATTATTAAAAGGAAGAAGAGCAGACTGGATACTGAGGAGAACAGCTCTCCCTACCTCTGCTTGTAGAAGGCAGATCTCTTCCACTACCCTCCAGGAGGTCTTCAGGAAAAGATAAATTATATAAAAGAAAGAGTTAGGGGAGGTAATCTGATTGGATGCCAGAGATAAGAAACATAAACCTGTGTGTACATAGCACTTACCCAAAAGAGTAAGAGGAAAAAAACTATAGTCAGCAAAACTATAGAGACAGTAAAAAGATCAGTGGTTGCCAGAGTATGGGGGGAAAGAGGGAAAAAGAGAAGAGACGAATATGTGGAGTATATAGCATTTTTAGGACAATGAAACTATCATTTTTGACACTGTAATGGTGGAATATGACATTATGCCTTTGTCAAGAGCTATAAATCTATACAATGCAAATAATTCTAATATAAACTATGGACTTAACAACAATCTATCAGTATCGGTTCATCAATTATAACACACATACCACACTAATGCAAGATGTTAATAAAAGGGGAAACTGTGAGTGGCATACATAAGAATTCTCTATTATCTGCTTAATTTTCTGTAAACAAAATTTTCTAAGAAATAAAGTCTATTAAATTTTTGTAATGATACTGAAAAAAAGCCCACAACTGTCAATATCAAACAATGGGGTTTCAGGGAATTGATAATAAGCAGGGTGATTCACACTGTCTATCATGCTACTTCTTATTTGTTACCTTTAGTATACCTGCAGCACATACATATTTCTGGGGTCTTTGTTTTGCTTTTATTATCAGCCTTTTTGAATGAAATTTGTATACAATAAAATACTCCCATTTTAACTCTACAGGTTAGTACATTTTGACAAACATTTACACCCATATAACTATTACTACAATCAAAACATAGAACACTTTCATCATCCCAAGAGTGACCTACTACCCCTTTGCAGTTAATCATTTCCTTGACCCTCAGAGCCTTAGTAACCATTCATTTCCTCTAGATTAGTCACTCAAGTTTCACCAATTGTAGACAATGGTAGCATACAGTCCATACAGCACCTATGTGTCTAGCTTCTTTTACCCAGCATGTATCTGAGATTCATTGATGCATTTATCAGTAGTTAGTTCTTTTTTATTACTAATTAGTATTCTACTCCATGAATATACCACAGTTTATATATTTAATCATTTGGGAAGGACATTTAGGATGCTTTCAGCTTCTGGCTATTATAAATAAAGCCACAATAAATGATTATGTACACGTATTTTTGTGGACTATATTTTCATTTCTTTTGGGTAAATACCTAGTAGACATATATTTGGTGCTCAGTATGGAAATACAAATTGTGTCCTTTGACTATAATTCTATATTGATCACATTCCTTAAATTAGGGCTTATCTTATTTTGTATTCTAATTTAGAGAAAATGTATTGCTGAACTTAGTGGTAGGCATGTGTACTTAGAGCACCTAAAGTTGGGGACTGTGGCATAACACTCATGAATTCAACTATATGTATGGAAATAGCAATGGAAAATTGTCATTTTTTAATCGCAATCTGTAATTATATCTGTTACCTATGAAAAAGTCTTTGAAAATTTCTAAAGATTACTGAAAATTAGTTGAAGAAGTCTTGATGATAGCAAAGGATAAAGTTAACATAGAATAGCAGCAACAAGGTACTATAGCTAACAATGGATACAATGGATAGCAGTAGGATTGGATAGCTGTGCTCCTAGTTTGATGATCTTATTCTTAAGGATCTAGTTTGTATTATGAAGGGTATAACACATCTCAGGAAATAAGCCAATTTGAACTGTCTGAATAAAGGTTAGAATATTTTAGTCTATTTTTTCTTTAGTCTGTCTTTGTTTTATAACATTTTTGTTTGGACATTTCTATCTTTCAAACACTTGAGGAACTAAAACATTTGTTTCAAATTTGTCAGAGGAATTCAGAGTTCTAAAAGAATCACTCTGGCAGTGATCTGATATTACTCAGGTTTCTTGTTTTTTTCCCACCGAAATTGGTTGAGAATGCCCTTTGTTCTTTTATTGGGGGGGAAGGGAGGTTCAGAAAAAACTATGCATGTCTCTAGCATATATCCTGGGTTATCAGATTCTAGCCTTGTTCATTCTCTTTAAGCAATTTTGTTGTTCTTTGTA